GGTGAGTTATGTCCGTTGAGGTTAGGTCCCTGTTAGTTACAGGCCTTTCGGGTAGGCCCTAAAAACCCGGCCAGGAATCGTCTTGGTGTCCGTGGCACACGACCAGGCTTATTCAGACTCATTGACATATCTCTCGCGGGAGGGTATGAATGATATGAGTCTGTCCTGTGCGTGCATGAGCGTTACGCTCGCCACGGCTCCACCAGGATGGTTCCTGGTCGCGCGCGCGCAAATAGAATAAGCCATTGATTTCATCAATTCAATGCGATTTATTTGAAACGAAAGGAACGCAAAAAAAATCTATCACGACGAGTCTATTCGATTGAAAAACGTTGAACACGATGATTCAAATAATCGACGACATAGAGATTGCCATGTCGATCGAAAGACAAACCATGAAGACAGTTGAACTGATTTGCTCCTTCTCCTTTACCATTTCCACCCACAATGACAGTGCCCTGTTTCGCTCCTTTTGGCCAACGCATCACTCGATGATTATGCGAGTCTGCCACATAGATGGTACCCAATGTATCGACGAACAGTCCATTAGGATGATACAACTGTGTCAGAGCATTCCCTTGTCCTTGACCTCCAGCGACGACAATTCCTTCTTTCGCACCTTTATTCCATTTCATTACACGATGATTGTTCAAATCTGACACGTAGACAGTCTGTTGTTGATCGACAAAGATGTGGGTCGGCACGTTGAGTTGATTGAGACCAGCACCTTTGCCATTGCCACCAGCTACAATAGTTCCATTCTTGTCTCCTATTTGATATCGTCTTACTTCATGTTTGTCGACGTCAGAGATGTAGAGATATCTCTGATCATCCATGGCCAATCCATAACAAACGATATTGTTGATGAGGATTTCTCCTTGAGTTGTACCACTACGACGAGACCATCGAACGACTCGTCGATTCCCCCATTCACAAATAATGAGACTATCCGTCTCTTTGTCGATCAACACATCGGTTGGTAAATTCAATTGATCCAATTGATTTCCGTAGCCATTGTCACCAGCTACTACTTGTCCATTCGTATCACCCATCTTCCATTGGATGATACGATGATTGTCGCAGTCAGCGATGATTATCGTTTGATCATCATCAACGAAGATACCATAAGGACAGTCGAGTTGATTGGTGGCACTGCCTTGTCCCTGACCTCCAGCAACAGTCGCTCCATTCTGTTTCCATCGGCCATCGACTGGAATATTAGGAATTACTACAATGAACAAAAAAGAAAAGAAATCGTCGTTATCGAAGGGATCTCATCTTTTGTGGGAGTAAGCGCTACAAAATATGACATTCGTCTTTGAAAATGCTCATTTCGCAGATAAAAATTCAGAAGTCTTTTCCTAGTTTCTTATGAGAAAAAAAGGATTTGGTAACGATTCTTACATCTATGTTACTTCTAGTTTTTGCCAAGATCTTTTTGATCATAAAAATAACACCTTGAGATTGTTGTAAGGAAGTTCTCCAAGAAAGAGTAATACTAATTCCATGTAAGTTTTTGATAGAAAAACATAAGGATCTGAGGATTTTATTCAGAATTGCAAGAATTCAGAATCTTTTTGGCAGAATGATCATTTATATGAATATGAGAGAAGATTCTATCTGTATCTTATGAGAAGAATATCGAATCGTTGAACAACAAAATATCAAACTTAATCCCTATGTTTTTTAGGAAACCTTAAGGATACATGATTTTCTGTATGATGAATGTAGATCTGCCGAAGAATCTCCTAAGTATTTGCATAGAGAATGCTGGTGAAATTTTATAAGGCTTTTGGTAAGTTATGTCAAGCTGTCCGAAGAACAACCGTGATGTACTCTGAGAGGGCTTCTACTTTTGCAAATGCTGAAAAGATGGATGTCAATCCGAACGGAGCTCTCCAATGACAAACATTGGGATCTATGGATTTTATGGGCTTTGAAAAGAAAGTGTTTTAGAATGCTATTTTTAACTTTTGATGAACACCATCTTCAAACTATTCTATAAGGGTCCTCGAAGAGAATCTTGACGACTAAATAAGATACTCTGTCAAAATCTGAAAATCTAAAAATAATGAGTATCTTCTATGAGGATCATGTTATGATCCTTATGTAGTACTTGTTCTGAGAAGTCTTCTGTAAGCACGAATGTTATGGATATGTTCAGGAGGATCTGAAGAGTAAGTATTTTGAAATGGTTGATATCAGAGATGGGCAATTCCAACTCCAAAGTTGATGCTTTTTCTCATCAGAGTGAAAATGGAGTAGGAACAGGACAGAATGGAAGTGCCTATCTTTAAATTTTATTAGAAAGTTTATAAAGCAATAAATTAATGTGCTACTAATTTATATCAATCGTAGATTTAATTATGTTCAATAACTTATGTGTATTTAAGAGTGTTTTGGCAGAAGTTCAGTTTTGTAAAATTCGACTCGAAATGAAGTTAAGTTGAAGTTGGAGTAGGATTTTAGAAAAAAGGAGCAGAGTGGTATGGGGTTCGAGCGGAACACACTGCAGTTAAAATTGATGTGGAGTTTTAGAAAAGAGTGGGATGTGAATGAATGTTGGTATCCTCTTCACCCTCACCTACACTCACATTCACACCAATACCCTCTAAGGAGATTTCTATGTTCTAGTGAAACTTATTTTGAGTCTGTAGCTCATTGTCTTGTGATATGGAATGTTCAAAAAAAAGTAAACTTGTATTATAATAAGGAGAGCTTTTGTGATTTTTTTTTCTTAAATATTGAAAATTTATATTAATTTTTTTTTCGTACATATTTTGAAATCTAATTATTCTGATTTGTTTAATTTTATTAATTTACAATAAAATTACATTACATTTCATTTAAATTAAAACGAAAGTAAAAAAATCGAATTATTTTATTTATTTTGAAATCGAATAAAAACAAATCTATTCAAATAATTTCAATTTCATTTAG